TTTAAATATTTATATTTATAATTAACACTGTTGTAAATATTTTATCATTCATGGTTGATGACGTGATGGTTCGATGGTTAAGGTGTCTGACTTTGATGTTGTAGTTGTCGGGTTTAAATGCAGGGCTTATAAAATACCAAAACACCGATACAATGGTGTATTATAAAGACTATCGGCAAACGGTCACTCTTTGTATACAGATAAATACACGTGAATCATTTGTATTTGTGTTACATTGTTTGGTTTTTTGTATTCATACAGCTAGATCTTAAAGAGAAATATGATGGACCAATTAGATGCTTCGAACAATTTGGAGAGAACCAATGAGGATGTTGCTTTTAAAACCAGTTTGAAAGTTGCAGGTTAGATTTGAAGGTACTCAATAATTAGCGTTGGTATTTTTTGTTTACGTTTGCAAACAGCCAATCAAACTGCGCAAATTCATAAAGGTCAAAATCAACAAACAAGACGGCGTTCATCATCGTCACTAAGAGAAGCAACTTCCGGTATGACGTCATCGTGGAAACTGAAATATAAAGATTTCCTTCCGCTCACAAACGAAACGACTAATTTGGCTTTCTGGGAACGAGCGGATTCTTTTCAGTAAGTTAGGCTGTCAAAATTGCTAAATACATTACCCAACTACCAATTCTAACGCCAAGCAATACAATGCAAACATCAAAAGCAAGCTAGTAGATCAAGCTAACCAGTGGTTGAAAAAATCACCGGAAGTCATGGTGACGTCATGCGAGTCAGTCACGTGGGTGTCACATGACCGGAACTTGCTGGGAGACGGAGAGATGATGATGTTGACGAAGAGCGTTAAAGAGAAATCGTGCAGTTATTATGTGAGAGGGTTAAGGTGAGTTTGCCTGCGTGTGTACGTGTGTGTGCGTGCGTGTGTGTGTGCGTGCGTGCCTGCGTGTGTGCGTGTGGAAACATTTAATTACATCAACAACAGCATCAACAAAAACCGCGAAAAAAAATTTCACATGCCAAAAGATTGTACCTACGCGGGCACTATATTTCAAACACTCCATTCTCAAGACACACATTATATGTATTCCCAACTTTTTGTCGTCATCACTTCATCATCATCATCACCATCATCATCACCATCATCATTACATATGTCATCATCATCATCATCGTCGTCATCATCATCGTCGTCATCATCATCGTCGTCATCATCATCAACATCATCGTCATCTTCACCAGAATATGGCTCTCTCCAAACACATCGAAACAACAACAGCAGCCACAAAAAACATCATCATCATCATCGACATTGAGCCACGTGACGACAAGTCACGTGTCCTTTCATGACGTCATACCTGATCACGGTAATGATTCTGTTCTTGATCTTCTGGCAAAGGCCAATCAGAAACTGATGAGTCGCAGTCTGAAAGGTACAAACCTACCTTAAAATACACACACTCACACACACACGCACACACACACACATACAAATACAAATACACACACACAACAGCACACACACAACAGCACACGTTAAAACTTCTGGAATTCGCACACGACAATAGGGAATTTGGTGACAGTAGAAACAGTGAACGTGCCAGTGTTGAAAGCGGGAAGTGGCAGTGGCAGTGGTGGCGGCAGCAGCAGCAGCTTCAACGCATCCATCACCAGATGGAGTGAAAAAACAGACGACGACAGTACGAACGTTTTCATCCTCAGGCTCTTCATGGTGAAAGAGGCCCACCAATATCACTACCACCATCAACGAAGATTCAGTCTCAGCCACCAGAGACCGCCTAAGCTAGGTCGGTCTAGAGACATTTCGATTGGTCTATCTAGGTGTCTAGTCTACAGTTGCAACGACTGGGTTTGAATGCAAGAAAATCCATCCATACCTGTTGTTGTTGTTGTTGTTTTTGTTGTAGGCACTGTTGTTGTGGTAGACATTTCTAACCTTTGCTTGCATGCACGCGTTTGTAGAAAATTGTATTAAAAAATGTGTCTATGAAGCTACGCGTTAGGCGCTAAATAAATGAAAAAATTTTCGTTTCTCTGTTCGGTTGAACACAGTTATAAAGGACATAGTACCGATGAAGCGTGACGACGACGAGTTCGAGTCTTACGAAGATTTCGAGACCCTGGTTGATAGGGCGAACGTCTGGATGAAGGAGAACAAGAAGAACATAGCCAGGCTCCTAACCATGCAGTCTGTCATGGTGATGAAAGATGATGGTGAGGATGATGATGACGATGATGATGACGATGATGATGACTATGATGATGATGATGACGGTTTTGAGGGTGATGAAGATGATGATGCCGACAATAAGAATGATGGTGTTATAACGATAACAATAACAATAACAATAATAATAACAAAAATAATAACAACAACAACAATAATAATAATAATAACAAAAGGTCCCCAAGAAAGCATAGGCAACAGTTGTAAATACTACATGCCGGGGATTAACAATCCTTCCATCGTCGAGTTTTTCAGGCTGTTGAGAATTGTTTATTTTGAAAATAACCGTCCCCAAACTGAAAACAACAACAACAACAACAACAACAATAATAATAACAACAATGACGATGATGATGATAACAACAATAATAATAATAATAATTTGCTGATGAATTTAAGTAGCAACGGTAATAAGAGCAATTTATTGCAGAATAAAAATAGTAATAATAATAAGGGTAATAAAAATAAGCCGACGACGCTAATTACTAAAACGCTAACTCTGCCATTCCTGATCGAAACATTCTCACCGGAAGTTGTCTGCAACAACAGCAGCAGCAACAACAGCAAAGATGGCGGAGGTGATGGATGTGTCAAGTTGGAAAAAGTTGAAAAGATGAAAGACCTCTTCGCTAAAGTTATGGCCTACCTTAGAAATACCGGTTAGTTGTAGTAGTAGTAGTAGTAGTATTATTAGTAGTAGTATTAGTTGTAGTAGTTGTTGTTGTTAATGTTAATGTTGCTAAGCCAGTGGTATTTTTATTTTTGTTTTGTTTTTCAAAACTTCTGTTTTCAAAATTCATTGAGGAGCGCTGTTGAACATCGCGGAAATAGCGCTTTATAAGCTAATTGATTGATTCATTGATTGAATGAATTCGTGACGTCATTAATAAATTAATCGACTGATGATAGAATGAATGGTTTTTATCGTTCTCTTTTACTCTCTCTCTCTCTCTCTCTCTCTCTCTCTCTCTCTTTCTTTCCTCCTCTTTCTTTCTCTCTCTCACCCATTCTTTTTCAACCAATCATGTTTCACGCACGCAACATTAACAGCAAATACATTCGCATCGACAAACAACAAGTTAGTATAACGTCGATCAATTGTCTAAACCACACACGCACACACACACGCACACACACACATATACACATATATACAAGCACACACACGCACACACAGACATGTATACACACACACAATATACACAATATACATACACACAGGCATACACACATATATACACACATAAAAGCACATTCACAAATACACGTACATATGCACGTACACACGCATACACACATACAAAATGTTAAACGACAATAAAGTAGAAGACAGGGAGGACAGTAAAGAAGCTGAAAACTGCTGCTTAATTGGACAGGAATGATTATCTATGTTGTTGTTGTTGTTGTTGTCGTCGTCGTTGTTGTTGTCGTCGTCGTTGTTGTTGTGTTGTTGTTGTCGTTGTTGATGTTGAGGATATTGATGATGATGTTGTTGTTGTTGTTGATGTTGAAAATATTGATGATGATGTTGTTGTTGTTAATGTTGAGGATATTGGTGATGATGATGTTGTTGTTGAGAAAGATATTGATGATGTTGTTGTTGTTGTTGTTGAGGATATTGGTGATGATCATTTTCTTTCCTAGGCTGTGATGTGTTGGGCGTAGAGACGGTTTTGAACCCGATGCAAATGTACATCGATGGGGATGCCCTGAGGCAGCTGTACGCTGATCAAGAAATTAAATTTCTATTCACAATCAGGTTGGTTGGCTGATCGATTGATTGATTGATCGATTGATCGGCCGATTGATTGAATGAATAAATGAGTGAATGAATGAATGATTGATTGATTGATTAATTAATTGATTGATTGATTGAGCTAATGATTTTTTGAATTATTGATTGGTAGTTGGTTGGCTGGATAGTTCATCGATTAATTGATTAACTGATAGAATGGTAGATTGATTTGTTGATTTACTTATTAACTAGTGAATTGATGAATTAGATGAATGACTGAATGAATAGATAAATGAATTGGTAATGATATATTGTAACGTAGTAGTAGTACAAGAAGTATAAGAAGTAGCAGAAGTAGCAGTAGAAGAAGTAGCAGTAGTAGCAGTAGAAGAAGTAGCTGCAGTAGCATTAGAAGAAGTAGAAGTAGTAGCCACAGCAGCAGTAGTGGTTTTAATAGCCGTCTAGTAATTAAAATTTACGCATGTTTTGCACAATCTTATGAAATAAAATGAAAAAAATCTCTGAACACTCTTGGCAACGAGAAATGTTTGTTTCGCAAACAATCGTGAAAGCACGCACTCACATGCACACATATACATACAAACATACATGCAAACAAACATACATACATACAAACATACATACATACACACGGCGACACTATAAGTACAAAAAAAATTTTGTCTGCAAACAAACTACAAGTCCTATAAACCTAAGCAAACAATTTTACTAGGGAATAAAAAATAGAAAAACTTAGGATTGCAGAAATGTACAAACATACACACATACAAACATACACATTCACACATACAAACACATACATACATACAAAGAAACACATAAAGCCAGACAACAGCCAGGTAGGGCAGGCAGTATTCATTGATACATAGTTTTTGAATTGAATTAATTTATTTTCAATAGTGTAAGATGAATAAACGAGCGATAGATATGTGTGTGTGCGTGCGTGAGTTTGTGTGTATGTATGTATGTGTGCGTGCGTAAGTATGTGTGTGTGCGTGCGTGTGTGTGTCGTCTCGAAACGGAAACAGGTATTTCATAGTTGCCATTGGTAACGAACACCACCCAGGTGGATAAAAATTTATATACAATGATGGGACTTTCATTGTTTAAAATATGACGGATGATTGGTGGATGGCTTGGTTGACTCCTCTTTTGATTGGTTGCCTGCTTTTTTATGTAAAATAATAATTGTTTTTGATTGGTGGTTGATAAAACATTGACACTTTAGAAACAATTGACATCCAATCACAAACCAGGTTATATTTAACTTGCCAATCAAACCAGCCTAACGACCCAGCTAGATCGGCAAGAAGGGCTTCTTTCAATCCGCCAGCCAATCAGCAATTAGACATCGAGGTCAACGCCGACAAATCAACCAATGAGAGAAGGCCCTTGTTTTTGCGAAATGTGGTTGGTCGGCAGTTTAAATACAGGTAAACAATATAAATTACGTCAATGAGTAATTAATTATGTTAACGAGTAACTAATTATGCTAATGAGTAGTTAATTATGCTAATTTATGACGGGGCTGGCAAAGAATAAAATAAATATTCAACAGGTGGTTGGTTCTTGCGATATCTGCTTTCACATGCATGACGATCATCGTCATCGTCTCCGTTGTGTACAGCAATCGGTGATGATGACGATGAAGAAAATGATGATGATGATTGTGATGATGATTGTGATGATGATGATGATGATGATTGGGATGTGGATGATGATAATGATGATGATTTTTTTTTTCTAGTCAATGTGGTGTTCATTATTCAAGTTCTGAAAAATGCTGTAGTTAACTTCCATTCGCTCCGTAGATATCATTCAATCGTTTTTCTCACTCACTCACTCACTCACTCACTCACTCACTCACTCACTCACACACTCACTCACTCAATCAATCAATCAATCAATCAATCAATCAATCAATAATTTTTTATTCCCAGCCTTAGATGTATTGTCTTTTTCTGCAAATTTTATATCAACTGCTCACAGATTACTCAATCTTATTTCATATCCCCTTTAAAACGAGGCAATGAATTTTCGTTTCGCCCCATTGTGAATTATGAATTGTGAATAGTGAATTCTGAATATTTGATCAACATTTGTTTTGATCTATTGGTTTAATTGCTTGCAGTAACTTGTTACATCTTCCGTTGGTTTATTTAAAAAAAATAAATAAATAAATGTTATATATACACATGGATAAGAAATGACAGAATATAAAGTGAAAATGAAAGTAGAAAGAACTAAATAGATAGTAGTGCAGTTGTCCGGTTAAGTTTCGAATTTGCATGTGTGTGTGTGTGTGTATGTATGTGTGTACGTGTGTGTGTGTGTGTACCTTTGTGTGTTCATTCTGTATTTATAATTCGTCAGTTTAATTTTGAGAAGAAATCTGAAAAATAAAATAATGAAACCGAAATAAAAAATTATATAAACGTACAATAAATGAATGAGTGAATGAATGGATGGATGAATGAGTGAGAAGATGAACGAATGGATGGATGAATGGATTGATGGATGGATGGAGAAAAAGAAATATTTACAGAAAAATGATAACTAAAATAAATGTAAACAAACATGCTCTCTTTTGAAGGTTTCACTCATAGCCACTTAGTATCGACGCGAAGTTCTCCACATTGTAATAATTATTTTTTAATCATGCTTAGTATTATCATATAAAACAACAGCAACATCAACAACAACATCATCATCAACAACAACATCATCATCATCATCGTCATCAACAACATTATATATATATATATATATATATATATATATATATATTCTCATATAAGATCTATATATTTGATATAAGCATTGTATTAGTATGTACAAATTAAAAATTTAAGTGTGTCTGTATGTAGACGTGTGTGTGTGTGTGTGTGTGTGTGTGTGTGTGTGTGTGTGTGTGCGTGTTTGTATATGTATCTGTATGTATGTGTGTGTGTGCTTAAAGAAAATAGATGTGTATGTATGTATGCATGTATGTATGTATGTATGTATGTATGTATGTATGTATGTATGTATGTATGTATGTATGTATGTATGTATGTATGTATGTATGTATGTATGTATGCATTTATGTATGTATGTATGTGTTGTGTTTAAAAATAGAAAATTTAACTTAACTATAACTTGACTTAACTATATCTTTAATGACATTTTATTCAAAACATGACATATTCAATATACTAAACAACAATAACAAAACATAGTATATATATATATATATATATATATATATTCATATATATATATATGGAGATATATATATATATATATGTGGAGAAATATAGATTCAAGTTCTTAACTATTGTGATGTCCGCACTAAGTTTTTTTTATATTTTCTTCAAGTCATCATCGTCATTTCAAACGGATAGGAGGATGGATAATAATAACAACAGCAAATAAAAGACAGCAATAATAACAATAATAATAATTATTATTATAACAATAATAATAATTGTTATTATTATAACAATAATGCTAATTATAATTTTAAAACTGCAGCCGTGAAAAGATAGTGATTAAAATGTTTATCAGTGGTGGAAATAGCCGAATCAATGAATAATATAACTAATTAATTATAAATAATTACACAACTAATTAATAATAAATAATTACATAACTAATTAATAATAAATAATTACTATAATTATCTATATTATTGTTGTTATAAAAAAAATAATAATTGAAATATTTTACAAAAATTAACAGGCGTAGAGTTTAGTAGAAATACTGTACAATACTTAATTAGTATATACGTAGTATGTATGTTCGTTTGTATGTACGTTTGTATGTGTGTGTGTGTGTGCGCGTGTGTGTGCGCGTGTGTGTGTGTTTAGAGAGACGCACTAGATAATATTGAAAAAGTAATGGACCAGGTATGTTCGTAATGCTTATTTATCCATTCATTCGATCTTTTTTCCGTCTATCCATTCATTCATTCATTCATTCGTTCGTTCATTCATTCATTTATTCATTCGTTCATTCATTCATTCATTCCTTCGTTCGTTCGTTCATTCGTTCATTCATTCATTCATTCGTTCGTTCGTTCATTCATTCATTCATTCGTTCGTTCGTTCATTCATTCATTCATTTCTCTTTTTTAACTTTAACCAACCAACAAACAAACCAGCCAACCAATCAAACTTCACATACACTCCACTTCTCCCACCAAGGGCCGACAGGTGTAAGGTAGAAATATTTGTTGGCACACGACCACACGTAGAGGATGTCATTAACAAGCATGTATATTTTTCTGGCTCTGCAAGTAATCAATCAATCGATCGATCAATCAATCAATCGGTCGGTCGGTCGGTCGGTCGGTCGGTCGGTCGGTCGGTCGGTCGGTCAGTCAGTCAATCAATCAATCAATCGGTCGGTCGGTCGGTCGGTCGGTCGGTCGGTCGGTCGGTCAGTCAGTCAATCAATCAATCAATCGGTCGGTCGGTCGGTCGGTCGGTCGGTCGGTCGGTCGGTCAGTCAGTCAATCAATCAATCGGTCGGTCGGTCGGTCGGTCGGTCGGTCGGTCGGTCGGTCAGTCAGTCAATCAATCAATCAATCGGTCGGTCGGTCGGTCGGTCGGTCGGTCGGTCGGTCAGTCAATCAATCAATCAATCAATCAATCAATCAATCAATCAATCAATCAATCAATCAATCAATCAATCAATCAATCGATCGATCGATCGATCGATCAATCAATCAATCAATCAATCAATCAATCAATCAATCAATCGATCGATCAATCAATCAATCGATCAATCGATCAATCAATCAATCAATCGATCAATCAATCAATCGATCAATCAGTACAATCATAATCACTAAAATGACTGACCCATATGACGAGTGTACAGATGAGATGCCAGTAGTTACAACATCCGGGTACTCGTCAGTCACCAGGGTTGTAAAGTACTGTCGGATCTCCATTCTATTCTTACATGGGTGACCTAGATAAATGAGGGATTGAGTAGAGATGAGTGAGTGAGTGAATGAGTGGGTGAGTGAGTGAGTGAGTGGATGAGTGAATGATTGAGTAAATAAATAAAATATGAGTGATTAGATGGAGGAGAGAATGGACAGGAAATAAACTAATTTTTACTTTCCGCTCCGTGGATCCACTTGCACATCCAAAACTGGAAAGAAAGGAATGAAACAAAATTATTACCTTCCTTTCTTTATGCTAAGCATCAACACCATCACCGTTACCATCATCATCACCATCACCACCACCACCACCATCATCATCATCGTCGTCATCATCATCATCATCATCATCGTGACTGACGTAGGGTCCTTTGAACATGAAAAATAGTGATCCAGCATCGGAGAAATATGCAGCGTCGATGGGGGTAGGAATTGAAATGGGTTCATTCTCGGTGTGGAAAATATCCGTCAACTTCTTGGGCCACCCTTCAGCAACATCGTTGTCAGTCTCGCGGAGCATGTAAATGTACTCACCTGAGAAGTGGAAAGACAGTTTGGAGGATTGATCATTTAGTTGCCGATCAGTCAAACAGCCAATTAAACAATCAAACTGCCAATCAGCCAACCAATCAGCCAATCAGCCAACCAACCAACAAAACAAACCAACCGGATATAACATAAGTATCGATGAATCCGTATCTTTTTTCGCGAGCATTCGTGAACATGGCATCGACTCTACGAATGGGCCGCCCAAATCTGAAGGGCCCATCGTTGACCTCATTGTGTAGGAAGAGGTTGTTGTTCTTGCTCGCGATGGACACGGGGTCCCCAAGTCTGGTCCTGTTCAGCGAGCTCATGAACAGCCACATCTTCTCGCCGCGGAAGAAGTACGTGTTGTAATGAAACTGTTTCTCAGTCAACGACTTTGAAAGAAATTATGACGGTAATTATTATAATATTACTATAATTATTAATCCTTTTAAATCGTTATTAAATAATTTAGATTATGGCGGTAATTATTATAATATTACTATAATTATTATTCCTTTTAAATCGGTATTAAATAGTTTAAATTATGACGGTAATTATTATAATATTACTATAATTATAATTTCTTTTAAATCGTTGTTAAATAATTTAAATTATGACGGTAATTATTATAATATTACTATAATTATTATTCTTTTTAAATCGTTATTAAATAATTTAAATTATGACGGTAATTATAACAATATTAAAAATTAGTATTCCTTTTAAATCGTTATTAAATAGTTTAAATTATGACGGTAATTATTACAATATTACAAATTATTATTCCTTTTAAATCGTAATTAAATAATTTAAATTATGACGTTAATCACTACAATACTATTACCAATTATTATTCATTAAAAATCGTTATTAATTAATTAATTTAGACAAATAATAAGTGAGGTAATTAGATGGATTACCCAGTAAATGAAATCGAAGACAGCATCAAAAGTTCCTGTACAATGGCCGTACAAGCCTTTCATGGCACTCCTGTCCGTCTCGCTCAGCTCCAGCTGCTACTCATATTCAATCATGATCATAATAATGATTGTAATTAGAACGCTAATTATTAGTTGTGACAGTAGAATAGAAGTAGTTGTAGCAGTGGTAGTAGCAGTGGTAGTAGCAGTAGCAGCAGCAGCAGTAGCAGCAGCAGTAGTAGCAGTAGCAGTAGCAGTAGTAGTAGTAGAGAGTTAGTATGGTGCAGCTGTAACTTCAGTAATAAAATTTATGATTCAACATTTGTCACAGTATTAATAGCTACTATAATTTCAAATAATTATAATTATAACTACTAAAATTATGACAGGATTAATGGTAGTTACAAGAATTGAAATATAGCCCAGGAACATACGGCGTTGTTAGTGGGGTGCCTGTAGATGGGGTACATGACTGAGTCCTCATACTCAATGTGGGAGAGTCCTAGGACGTGTCCAACCTCATGCACGGCTACCTAAGTTGTAGTAGGTAGTAGTAGTAGTAGTAGTAGTTGTAGTAGTAGTAGTAGTAGTTGTTGTTGTTGTCGTAGTTGCAGTTACTTCTTTAATATTCCTTCATTCAATTTTTCATTCGTCAATCAAACGTCGACTCCTTCTTCTATTCACTCCTTTCATTTACCGATCAATCCTTCAATCACCAATCAATCCATGCATTCATTCAACCATTCATTTATCCTTCTTCCAATCATTTCTTCACTCCATCAGTGAAGAAATCACTTCACTCCATCTTCACTCTTTCATCACTCAACCAGTACATCCATCAGCCAGCCGATCAGCCAGTCAACCTTCAGCAAATGAACTTGACTCTCATCTCCCAGATCAACAGTTTCTTGGAAGTTTTCATCGGAATCAAAGTGGATGTCGCCAGTGGCCCATGAATGTGCAATATCGCCCCTTGGCCCGTCAAAAGCTCTTTCACAAGCCACATGATCGCCTATGTGTGTGTGTGTGTGTGTGTGTGTGTGTGTGTGTGGTGTGTGTGTGTGTGATTGAGGATGGATGGATTGTACGGACGAGATGATTGTATTTTCTTAACTATATTACGTGAATACGTACCTCAACTACGTTTGCATGTATGCACGTTTTATATATTTGGCTTTATATTTTGTATATTTATTTGTATACATCCGTTTGTATGTATGTTTGTAGGTTCGCATCTGTTTGTATATATATATATGTTTGTATGTGCATGAACACACGCCTGCAAACTCTTCATTTCTAGAATTTTTTCCTCCTTTAAAAGCTTCACGGCATGCGTTTAAATTAGCAAACAAAAAATTCCATACTTTTTGCTACGTGTGTGCGTGTGTATGTATGTTTGTACGTATTTGTGTATGTACGTGCGCATGTGTGTATATATGCATGTATGTGTGTGTGTATGTGTGTGTGTGTAGGTGTGCACTTTGTAACTCACTGTTGCAATTTCCCTCTCAAGTATCTCATATTATATATGTGATAGAAATCTGAAGCTATTTATTCTTTCAAAGTCGATACATACAGACTTCTGGATGAATATACAAACAAACATACATACATACATATATACATACATACATACATACATACATACATACATACATACATTCAAACAAACATACAAACATACATACATCCATACACACAAACATACAAGCTTATCTCTCCTATCATTTATTTACGAGAATGGCTTGCCTAACCTGGAGGTGCTTTTTTTTCTCGTTTTGCCATAATTGTATTTTTTGCTATTCGGATGTTTTTCATATTATTTTTCATTTTTTTTTGTTTATTTTTTATGATTTATTAAAAATCATGGAAATAAATAAGAAAGATTGGTAAGAAAAATATGAGAAAAAGGAGCCAAAAAAGCTAATAAAATAAAAAAAAAATAATGAAAAAAATCTTCTATATCATTCAATCTTCTATCTTGGGAACGATTTATGCCAAGTGTTAGAGGCGCACACACGTACAAACACATACACCCACAAACACACTCATGCACACATACAAACACACACGCGAAAGCCCGCAAGCATACAAACAAAATCATTCGTAAAGATACACATAAAACTAGAATTTATATGTTAATATAAAATCCTGTATTTTCTTTTACTGCTTTCATTCTTAAATTTTTTAAATTATTTAGTTTTTCGAATGCATTTCTCTCTCTCACACCTCTCACTCTCTCTCTCTCTCTCTTCATCCAAGCGTACACACACACATACATACATACAAATAAACAAACATACACACACACACACACACACACGTATAAATGCAAACAACATGCATTCATCTTTAACTCGCGCCATGCAATCATCTCGGTTCCGATATGAAAAATTTTGAAAAATTGACGAAAAAATGAATAAATGTAACGATAACCAACCACATAGCAGCAGTAGTAATGATAATGATCGCAACAAATATATAGAGAATGAAAAGTAAACTTAATTTAAAAGTAATAAACGCATTATTTATTAAATTTTTTTTAAATCTTTTTTCATTTCTCCACAAAAATTGAACTTGCAAATTCATTCGTATTCTCCGTCATAAGCCATCAAGGAAAGATTCTTTAATTTTTGTTTTTAAATCTGCAAATCTAATTCTATAACAATGATAAAAAGAAACATTTAGAATGGTTATAACGAAGAACCCTCTAAACAGTTGCAAAGCATGAATTAAAAAGTAAAGTCAGCAGTAACTGTTCGTCAGGCTGCAAACATCCTGACGATATTATTCTGCTATTTAGCTGCCCTAGCAACCCTACACATCTCACGGTGATAAATCTCTGGCGAAGCCAGGTTGCTGTAGCCAACTGGCTACAGCAATCCTGTCTGGATTACTCTGGCGAAGTTTGAAGCGGGGCAACAACTACAACAACATCGACAACAACATCGACAACATCATCATCAAAAACAACATCAACAACAACAACATCATCAACAACAAAATTTTCAAGTAACAAAGCAAGAGATTCCGAATCATTAAAGATAACGATATCAACAACATCATCATCAACAACATCATCATCAACAACAACAACATCAACAACAAAATCTTCAGGTAACAAAGCAAGAGATTCCGAATCATTAACAGATAAATAAACAATTTATATTGCCATAAGCATCTTTTCGTGGAAAATCTATAAACGAACGAACACACACACACACGCGCGCGCACACACACACACAAATATACACACACACACACTACACACACACGTACAGACAGACAGACAGACATAAATAAACATACGTGCATACACAAAGGACATTATCATAAACATTGCCGAAACTAACTAATGGCGATATAAACAACAAAAACATCATCACGCACGCAATTATTAGTATTATTGTTGTTGTTGTTATTAATGTTATTATTCTCTATTGTTGTTGTTGTTGTTGTTATTTTTTATTGTTTTTTTATTGTTATCTTTTATTGTTGTTTTTTTTTGGTGTAACTTTTAAAAATTATTTCCTTATCAACGTCATCACTCGCACATCCGTAATCGTCGACGTCATCGTCGTCGTCACTATCATCATCATCATCATATCTTCTTCTTCTTCTTCTTCTTCATCATCATCATCATCATATCTTCTTCTTCTTCTTCTTCTTCATCATCATCATCATCATATCTTCTTCTTCTTCTTCTTCATCATCATCATCATCATATCTTCTTCTTCTTCTTCTTCATCATCATCATTATCATCATCTTCGTCGTCATCATCGTCAGCATCGTTATCATCATCAGCATTATTTTCTTATCAAAATTTTTCAAGATTTTCAAGTCTTCGTTCTAAAAAAAAGTGTTCATTCAGCTCGTTGTTTTCTACAAAAGCAAAAAGACAACAGCATCAACATCAACAACATCAACAATAACAACATCAACATCAACAACAGAAACATTAACATCATCAACAACATCAACAATAACAACATCAACAACAACATCAACATCAACAACAACAACATCAACAACAACAACATCAACAACAACTACAAAGACATTAAAACCTCAATGGAGGCAATAATAATAATCATTGCATCATTCATGGAAAGCCTTTTCCGAGAAATCGCACAGCCGAAAGCAAAGAAAAAAAATATTTTTATTTACCAATGAAATATAAATGAAGATAATTTCACCCATAAAAATGTAATTTAATATCAATTTTCTCTATCTACAGACGTTTAAATTTTATTCCATTCTTTTCAAAAAACACAAAATTTTGAAAACCATCGTGAACCGTCATCATCATTGTTAATATTATTATAGTTATTATTATTATTTTATTACTATTATTATTATCATAATTATTATTTAAATTTCCAGACATCCAGCCAATGTAGTTATTGGGGAAAAAAATCCTCCAATGCTTACCCCACAAGACCATCAACTAATGAGATTTTTTATTACTTCGAAGTTGTTTTTTTACAAGAAAAAAAACATTAAGAATAATAACAATAAAGATAATAACTGTCATAATAATAAATATTATTAATTATTAATTTCATTATTTTATATAATTTTAAAGATCATGCAAGATTGAAAAGTTCTCAGGCGTCAGGCAAGCCATCTGACTGACGTGCAACTGCCGGTGAAGGACGAGAAACGAAAATGTATAGAAAAGTAGAAATAATAAGTTACTATTAATATTATTATTATATTATTATTATTATTATTATTGTTATTATTTTTCTTTATTATTTCCGAAATTACTACCAATACAATCAAAAAAGGCATAATCGCATACATCCTACATATATGAATACATAAAAACAGACAAACAAACCACAAACAAACCACAAACAAATACAAACAAACATACATACAAACGAACGAATAAAAAACAAACATGCAAATATACAAACACGAGCAACGAACGACAAAAAGTTATCAGTTAATTAATCACCGTGCAAGACATTGACAGTTTTATAGATAAGGGTATAGACGAAATAAATTAAAAAATATACACACACACAAACAACATACACACATACATACACACATACAATATAAGAATATACACACAGTATACATACACACGCACATGCAACACACACACATACATATATTCATTCCCATATCTACATTTATATAGCACTCTGTATAAACACACAGTGATAAATAACTGTTATTACTACTGTGATTATTATTATTATTTATATAATAATAATAATAATTATTATTATTATTATCATTATTAGAAGAAAAGTAATATAATACGTTTGCGCCATTATATATTTCCACAGTTCTTTTGCCATTTTTTCTCCAAAAAAGCCAAATAAAAATAATTTTAATAATTATAATTATTATTATTACTATAATTATTACCGTCAAATTTATAACGTGATAATAAAGTATTATTGAAATAATAAAAATAAATAATATAATAAAAAATGCATCTATGAATCATGTGTAGATAGATAGATCACGCAAGACAAAATTATGAAAAAGTATTAAAAATTATAAGGAAGTTTTATTTTTTTTAATGAAACACGATATCATTTTTATGTATGTATGTATGTATGTATGTGTGTTTGTTTGTTTGTTTGTATGTTTGTATGTTTGTTTGTTTGTTTGTATGTTGGCATGCTTGTATGTGTGTATGTATGTTTGTATGTGTATGTATGTTTGTATATTTCAATTTTTTACTAAATCAATTTTTTCATTTATTAATTTGTCTATTTTTGGATTTATTTATTAACTTTTTGCATGAATCATATGAAAAATACGTCATAAACAACGACAACAGCAACAACAACAACACCATTATCGTCATCATCAACAACAACATCAACAACAACATCAACAACAACAACAGAATAACATTTACGAGTTTGCATTTAAACTGCGGTTTAAAAGATATTACTGTTTGTTTTCTGATTATTTTAAGATGTTGTTATTATTATTATTATTATTATTATCATTATCATTGTTGTTGTTGTTGTTGATTTATTGTTATTATTATTATTTTTTTTGTTTTTTTTTGTCTTAGCATAGATAGGTAAAATATGGAAGAAGAGGGAAGAAGGTGAATATATGATTTATTTGATGAAACATCTAGCTAATTTGAGACGCAAAACATAACGTCGTCGCTTACTTTCCGTCATCATCTCCGTCATCATCTCCGTCATCATCTCCGTCATCATTATCATCTCCGTCATCATTATCATCGTCATTACGTACTTACATGTATTAACGTTTGTATTACGTATGTAAGTATGTGTGTGTGTGTGTATTTTAGTTTTGTTTTACCTATTCCTTGTCTGACTCTCTCTCTCTCTCTCTTTCTCTCACTTTCTCTTTTTCTCTCTTTCTATCTTTACGGTATCATTCATTTTTCCGTTTTGTCTCTCCATCCCTCTCTTATTCTCTCACTTACTTTTTCAAAACTATCTTACGTTGTTCTACATTTGTCTTTCGGTATTGCATCCTGTATGACTGCCTGATGTTCAGTATATTTGTGCGTATTGTGAAAATATCGTTGCGTATTGTTGAGGTACTGTTGCGTATTGTTGCGTATTGTTGAGATATTGCTGCGTATTGTTGCGTATTGTTGAGGTTTTGAGGTTTTCTTAAGATATTGTTGGGTTTCGTTGCGTATTGTTGAAGTATTGTTGGGCTCTGTTGCGTATTGTTAAAGTACTGTTGAGTATTGTTGAAGAATTGTTGCGTTTTGCTGCTTTATGTTGTGCATGTTCATGTTTTTTATGTTTTTTTTTTTTTTGTATTCTCTCTCATCGCGAAATGTTTACATTAAGATTATGTTTGTTTCGTTTGAGACGATGCGACAAAACGTTTCTTATCAAACTTTTAATGCTACTACCACTAATACTACTACTACTACTACTACTACTACTACTACTACTACTAATAATAATAATAATAATAATAATAATAATAATAATAATAATACTACTATTGCTACTACTACTGCTGCTACTACTACAACCGCTACCACTGCTACAACAACAACTACTACTACTACTGCTACTACTACTACTACTACTACTACTGCTACTACTACTGCTACTGATGATACTACTGCTACTATTACAGTTTCAAAGTTAAACCACCGATAACTCTTTTTACTACTACTGCTACTACTACTGAATGCGTTTCATGTGAGTTAGTTATCTAAAAAGCATTATAGAATGCATTTGTGTTTAGTGTTATATACTTATGTGGCTGGCTACAATCAATCCCATCCAATTATTCCATCCCTTGCCTTTTCTCTCTCAATGTTTATATTTCTCGTGAACTTTTTTTAAATTTAAAATTACTTCCTTATTGGAATAATAATAATTGTGATAATATTTTTTAAAGAAATACTTATAAAAATAACGATAATAAATAATAAAATGGGACGAAAATTTCTTAGAAATGATTCAGAGTGAAAAATTTATGGCTTGGCGATTTTTAGTTTCAACATTTCTAGGAATCAAATTAGGACGGTGAACTAATAATTAAACGAACAAATGTAAACACCCTTACATAAATCACAAGGAATAAAAATCACAAACGAATGAGTGAACGAACGAATGTAAGAATGAACGAATGAATTAATAAATCAAAGAATAAATAAAAGAACAAATGAATGAATGAATGAGAAAGACTCACCATCAGCAAAGACAACCCATATCTCAGTATCTTGCAGTAGCCCGTCTTCATTTTCTTCAAACAACAGTGGCGTCACTTCACTCCAAATTCTAAAAGCCAACCGCAGCGCACTCCTCCTAGCATTCCTGTTGAGACTGTTGTGAGCTTCGTCTCTAAGTAGCATCCACTTAATCGGGATGATGGAGCCATCTTCGTTTTTCATGATTTTGAAGAGACGCTTCGTTATTCCATGCACCACCTTCTCTTCAGTTGGAACGCTGAAAAATGCGCTGCGCTTCTTGCGGATGTGTGGCTGTTGTGGTTGCTGCTGTTGTTGTCTATCTATGGTGTCGTCGTTTGAGTCGTTATCTTTAGGATTTATGACATCGTTGTTGTTGTTTTCGCTTTGTGAGTTCGAATTAGAATTTTTACTGTTAGTGCTGCTTGTGGAGTTGTAAATTTTAGTTAGAACGTCGCTGATTTGCACGTGCGGTAGAATTTCAGTAACTTTTGAAGTGTTTGAAGCGAGATCAATCTCAATTAGAATGGGTGTCTTGTGATCGTCCGCTGCTTTGGTCTTTATGTAATTCCCTTCAACATTCCTGACCATTTCCTCCTCCAGCTGCCACTGGTCGTGACGCCTGGTCAGCATCTTCGACTGGTGTTCGTAATCCTCTCTGCCGAACTCTCTCTTAGGTGACATGGCGTTCAGAGCTTCTAAGATATCTCTGTACTGTTTCGACCTGATCTTCAACGGGTTAAGATCGGCAAATAAATTCTCAACGCAATTGAATTCAAAAACCGAATCATCCAGAATGGCATTGGAGTTGTTGAGGTAGCCAGCGAACAACTCATCAACCGGCAGACCAGTTCGGTTGAAAACATCGCCCACCACCTGCCGACCAACACTTCGACGAAATAATCTTCTCTTTTGCTCTTCGCCGCCTTTGCCCGATAGAAATTTTGTTTGTGCGACATACTTGACATGTTCGGCTCTTGCTTTGTTAGATCTGAGGTTCTGCTGCTGCTTCATCTTGGCTATGTGCATCAGCGTGTCGCTCGCCTCGTGCTCTTCGGAGTCGGCGTTGCCGCAACGGCGTTTTCTGACGATCGTCAGCGTTGCCTTGTCTGGAACGCCTGTGACGTTCAGGTGAAATGACTTCTGCATCTTCTTCAGGGCATTCTTTTCTTGTTTTTTGCTGCAGAATGGCTTTGTAGGCGTTTTATTTTTTGGTGGTAGTGGTGGTGGTGTAGTTGCCGATTTTTTAATCGGCGGTAAGTTTTTTTGCGTGTTCGATCTTCGGTGTGACACATTTCCAGTAAGATAGGCATGAAGAGAAGATGCCATGTGGCGGAGAGATGGTTGTCGAGGAGAAAGTTTGTAGCTGTTGTCGTTACTACCGTTGCTGTTGTTAGCGTTTTTGTTGTTGTGGTGATGGTGGTGGCTTCTACTGCGTAAACCTGGAGGGGTTTGACGAGTTTTTGTTGCTGTGTGGGTTTTTGCCCTTTTTTTGTCAGTGTGATCTTTCGGCCTGCAGTCTTCCAGGTATCCATACTTGACTAAGTAGTTCTGTTGTGTTGTTGGGATTATCCATCGATCAATCAATTTTTCATTCTTCCATTAAATAATCATCATCAACACCCTCATCAACACCACCATTAACACCATCACCATCATCATTTTCTTCGTCTCCTTCTTCTTCATCATCTTCATCATCAGACAGTGTAGTATCTTAAAAATTCCCTCAATAAACATAAACACAAGAAGTTTTTCGAATGTTTAACATTGCAGTATTACAACTTAGCTATCTATCTAAACTAACATATAATAATAATAATAATAATAATAATAATAATAATAACAACTACGACAATAATAATAACAACAACAAGAATAATAAGGTAACTTAATAATAAGGAGCATTATGTGTTACATCATATTTCGCATCAAACTATTTATCTTTGCATACCATTTTTAATGT